CAGGGAGTTGGCGGTAGAGGCGGTGTCGCGACTTCGAGGCGCGACAATTCATGAACCTTCGCGGCATTAGGCGAGGTGGAGTTAGCGAACAGGAGTTCGTGTGCAGTTACCGCGAACATGAGCTTTTACAAACAGAGGAGTTTGGTGATGTTCAACCAGCGGAGTTTGCAAGTTCGTCACATGAGGAGTTGCGACAGGTGGAGTTCGGTAGGGTGCTGGCGAGCGAGCAGACGCGATTATTCGCGAACAATGGTTTCGTGAAGGATTTCACTCACGGGACAACAGTTTAGCAGAGGTGCTAGCGCGAACAGAAAGATTGCTTCAACCCACATTTGTGCATAAGAAACTCCATGATATTTTTTTCCTAAGGAGCTGTATATTCGCAAGGTGAAGATTTTCTCCTAAGGGGCAGGATGTTCGCAAGGTGGAGATATTTCTACTAAGGCGTTGAATATTCCCAAGGTGGAGATTTTCTCCTAAATGACTGGATATTCGCAAGGTGGAGACTTTTCTCCTAAAGAATTAGATATTCGCAAGGTGGAGATTTTCTCTTAAAGGGCAATAATATTTGCAAGGTGAAGATTTTTTTCCTAAGGGATTGGATATTCGCAAGGTGAAGATTTTCTCCTAAGGGGCAGGATGTTCGCAAGGTGGAGATATTTCTACTAAGGCGTTGAATATTCCCAAGGTGGAGATTTTCTCCTAAATGACTGGATATTCGCAAGGTGGAGACTTTTCTCCTAAAGAATTAGATATTCGCAAGGTGGAGATTTTCTCTTAAAGGGCAATAATATTTGCAAGGTGAAGATTTTTTTCCTAAGGGATTGGATATTCGCAAGGTGAAGATTTTCTCCTAAGGGGCAGGATGTTCGCAAGGTGGAGATATTTCTACTAAGGCGTTGAATATTCCCAAGGTGGAGATTTTCTCCTAAATGACTGGATATTCGCAAGGTGGAGACTTTTCTCCTAAAGAATTAGATATTCGCAAGGTGGAGATTTTCTCTTAAAGGGCAATAATATTTGCAAGGTGAAGATTTTTTTCCTAAGGGATTGGATATTCGCAAGGTGAAGATTTTCTCCTAAGGGGCAGGATGTTCGCAAGGTGGAGATATTTCTACTAAGGCGTTGAATATTCCCAAGGTGGAGATTTTCTCCTAAATGACTGGATATTCGCAAGGTGGAGACTTTTCTCCCCTGTTTTCTTCGCTCTAATTTTCTCAACAATTGCCCACCTGCTTAATTTCAAAATTCAAACCTTAGCAACAATATGTGCGTTTAGCTAGAATTTAAGTAGAATCTAATCAATTAATAGTTAAAACTAATTGAGAGATCCAAGAGAAGATCAAGAGTCTCTCAGGCACAATGAATTAAATTCTCACCAAGAGCTCAATTTACTTGGTCATTCAAGTCAAGGATCTCAACATGTGAATCTCGCATAGCTCAACATAAATTTCTAATACACAATGGATTAATTTCAAAATAAACAGCAAACCAGTCTTTAGTTCACAGATTAACCTGATCGAAAAAAATTTGCCTGATTAGATACAAACAAGAGTTGTAAAAGTACAAAACCCTAGTCATCAATTTCTGCAAAATCAACTACTTAAGAGTTTATAGCCCACGCCCATTCTCTCACTCCTCAAAATACATACTCGTTTTCTCTGAATCATTCACATATAAAAACCCTAGGCTCTATTTACATGCTTCAATGAGGGAAAAAAACAAAATTACTAAAGCATGTCACTAGAGCATGAATATATATCCAGTCATTCAATCTATTCAAACCCCACCCATCTTCCATCCCGAAGAGCAAACTTCGCAAAAGTTCAAAAGAGGTATGTGTTCTAAAATAAACACAAGCAAGGTGAATTATCCAGCTTCTTCAAAGAAGTTATCCAAAAATAACCTAGATTCCCTCCAGAAAGCAATACACAAACTTAAATGACTAAGATGGATGAGAAACGAAAAGGGAAACAAAGCAGAACCTGGATGTTCATGGCCTTCTTGTTCGATTCCAGCTGACTACCTGCTCGAATAAGAAGAAAACAAAACAAGCATTCAAGATCCATACGATAACAAAAGAGATCGTCGATCCAAAGTCTACAAACTGGAAGACATACCCTTCTGTGATTTCGTCTTCTCAATGTTCTTCTCACGAGCCATTTTCGCCTTCTGCCCGTTGCCTCCGCCCATCTCTATGTCCTCCCGGGTCTGCTTCCTTCTCTAGCTCGGCAGGTGAAACAAGAAAGCGAAGACTGGACGAGGTAAAAAGGTGCACCGAATAACCTGCGTGTCGGTTGGCGGGTTCTTAAATAGCCGCCCAAACGATTGCTTTAACGTGAGTTCGGGGAATAAATTTTACCACGTTTAATGAAATCACGCAATAATACTTCATGCGATAGAAAAAAAATTGATGTGATAATATGAAAAATATTTCTCCCGTGTTATTCATATATTATTGTGTGTTATGTTATATTTTTATTTATGACTCACATTTATTTTAATAACTTATGAGATTTATTTTTTATAACTTAAGTTATTAATTTTCTTAACTCATAACTTATGTCATAAATTATGATAACTTATGATATTTATTTTCATAACTTAAGTTATTTATTTTCTTAACTCATAACTTATGTCATAAATTATGATAACTTATTATTTTTGTCATATAACCCTAAAAAAATAAATGTTACTAATTTATGTCATTGATTTTATTAATAAAAATCAATTAATTTATTAAATTATCATAAATTATATTGGTTAGTAACCCCCTTGATGGATGGTGGTTAAATAGACCATGAATTTGAGAATGAGTCATCTCTCTACCTAACACACCTCGTACATTTCTCTCCATCAGAAAGTACAGAAAGTTTCAAGGGATTAGAGAGAGAAACTCCATCACTTCAAGATCAAATTTGTTCATCATGAATACAAGTATGCGTCACTTTATTTTAGATATGAAAAAATCATGAATTTAAAATATCTTGGCTATTATGTACTTTTTCTTTTGAAATTTGTGTCATAAAGTTGAAACATGAATTTTCTAACATGTGGTATCAGAGACTTAATTACTAAATTTATGATTTTTCATATAATTTTATTTATGTTAATTGTAATAAATTTTCACTGTGAATTAGATTTTTAATTAGATCAATAAAACTAAAGTAAATTGATGTGATTGAAATTATTATTTATTTAATGTCTATGTAATGTTTAATTTGTTAGTCACCAAAGTGACCAAATTAATAAGTTTAATAGACGTTAAATTAAATAAATTCAATTAATCAAGAGTATGTGATGCTTGTTATGAAATAATTTAATAATTTATTAAAAAAATATTAAAATTCATTGATTTTAAAATATTTTTAGATCGCCTAAAGGTTGATCATTTGTTTTATAATCATTGAATTTAATTGTAGTCTATTTATATACTAAGTTAAGATATGTTTATATATCCAAAGATAATAGACATGTCTAACTTGAGTACAAGCAATTATGAATTATATTAAATTTAACTCAAACATCAATTATGTTTATTATCGTGAATTGTTATGTCACCCAAAGAAGATTTCAATACGTTATTATTATTATTATCATTATTTTTAATCTGATTTTATATGAATATCTTTGTAAGTTTAATGTTCGAAGCATTAATGTACGAGCATGTTTTACTTATTTACAGTAACTACTCTTGTTTCTATTCATTCGCAAGCTACATCTATTCAAACTTTCAATGAGCCCAATTTCTCTGAATGACGCGAGCAAGTCCATTTTCATTTTGGTGTTCTGGATCTTGATTTAGCACTCACGGCTAAGAAACCCCCTGCTCTTACTGGTTCTAGCAGTGCTAAGCAAATATCTTTTTATAAAGCTTGGGAAAAATCGAACAAATTAAGCTTAATATTTAATTAAGCTTAAAAATCGAACAAATTAAGCTTAATATTTATGCAAATGACTGTAGCAAACAACATAAAGTGTACATTTTCTAACACTGAAAGTGCTAGGAATTTATGAAATTTGCTGAGATTTGTTCTCAGCCTGACTCTGCTGATAAGTCTCTTGCTGGGATACTATTGAGTACGTTAACCAACATGAAATTTGATGGTCCCGTACCATGCATGAGCATGTCGTTGAAATGACAAACATAGCAGCAAGACTTAAGACCCTAGGAATGGAAGTGAATGAAAATTTCCTTGTGCAATTTATCATTAACTCCTTGTCTCCTGAGTATGGTCCATTTCACATGAACTACAACACTATGAAAGATAAGTGGAATGTGAATGAACTATAATGTATGTTCATTCAAGAGGAAGCAAGACTTAAGAAAGGAACAAATCACTCAATTAATCTCATGGGTCATCAAAGAAGAGCTGTAAAGAAACCTGAAAAGAAGAATGGAAAGGGTAAGCAAGGATCACTAAAGATTAATGTGTCATCTGCCCCAATTCACAAAGAGGAATATAAAGGAATTAAGTGTCACTTTTGCAGAAAGCTTGGACACTATCAAAATGAGTGTCAAAATAACAAAGACTGATTCAAAAAGAAAGGTAAACCTTGTGTTTTTGTATGTTTCGAATCAAATTTGGCAGAAGTTCCTTATAATACATGGTGGATTGATTTTGGTTGTACCACTCATGTTTCTAATACGATGCAGGAATTCCTTGCAACCAAAATCATAAACCCAAATGAACAATTTGTCTTCATGAGAAACCGAGTCAAAGCGTCAGTTGAAGCTTTTGGAACATACCAGTTGATTTTAGATATTGGACATCATTTAGACCTTTTTCAAACATTTTATGTCTCTTCTGTTTCTCGTAATTTGATTTCGTTATCTAAACTTGATTCTATTGGATACTCATTTAAATTTGGAAATGGTTGTTTTAGTTTGTTTATCTCATAGGTTCTGGTATTCTTTGTGATGATCTATACAAGCTTAAACTTGATAACATTTTCTCTGAGAAATTTGATGACTTTGCATCATAATATTGGTACTAACGTGGTTTTATGAATGAAAGTTCAGCTTATTTGTGGCATAAACGTTTGTGTCATATATCCAAAGAAAGAGTTGAAATATTAGTAAAGAATGAAATCCTTAATGAATTAGATTTTACTGATCTTAGCATCTGTGTGAATTGTATTAAAGGAAAACACACAAATCACACACTTAAGAAAGCCGCTACAAGAAGCACACAACTCCTTGAAATTATACACAATGATATTTGTGGACCTTTTGATGTTCCATCTTTTGGTGGAGAGAAATACTTTATCTTCTTTATTGATTATTTTTCACGTTATGGGTATGTCTATTTATTACATTAAAAATCTCAAGCTATAGATGCCTTAAAGATGTATATACCTGAGGTTGAGAGACAATTAGACAGAAAAGTGAAAATTATCTGGTCTGATAGATGTGGTGAATATTATGAAACTTACAATGAATTTGGACAATGTCCAGGTCCATTCGTTAAATTCCTTCAAACTAATGACATATGTGCTCAATACACTATGTCAGGAACACCACAATAAAATGATGTTGCAGAAAGACGAAATCGTACTCTAATGGAAATGGTTAGGAGTATGATGAGTAATTCTTTTTTACCCTCATCATTATGGATGCATGCTTTAAAGACCGCTGCATATTTATTAAACAGGATTCCTAGTAAAACAGTTCCGAAGACTCATTTTGAACTGTAGACAGGAAGGAAACCTAGTTTAAGGCACCAGCATGTTTGAGATTGCCCAGCGGAAATAAGATTATATAATCCACATGAAAAGAAACTGGACTCAAGAACAACCAATGATTTCTTCATTGATTATCCAGAAAAATCTAAAGGGTATAGATTTTATTGTCCTAATCACAGTACAAGAATTATTGAAACTGAAAATGCTAAGTTCATTGAAAATGGTGAAGTTAGTGGGAGTTTGGAACCACATAAAGTTGAGATCCAAGAAATTAGGGTTCAAGTTCCTTTACCCAAAATTTCTTCTCAAGTTGTTATTCCTACAGTTGTTGAATATTTTGACAACTTACAAGAACAACAAATATATGATCAAATACCCCCACAATGAAACTGTCACTAATGAACCTACATTATATGAACCACATGAAGTAGTACCTAGAAAGTCTCAACGATAAAAACAATCTGCTATTTCCGATCGTTATGTGGTTTATCTTCATGAATCCGAATTTGACTTAGGAGTCAATGAAGATCCAATTTCATTTTCACAAGCCATAAAAAGTGCAAATTTTTCTAAATTGTTAGATGCAATGAAAGATGAGTTGAAATCAATGAATCACAATAAAGTCTGGGATATCATTGAATTGCTTGAAGGTTGTAAAAGAGTCGGGTGTAAATGGGTCTTTAAGACTAAGCGCGATTCAAATGACAATATTGAACGATATAAAGCTAGACTTGTTGCCAAAGGTTTCACTCAGAAAGATGACATCGATTATAAAGAAACATTTTCTCTGGTTTCTAAGAAATATTCATTTAGAATTATCATGACACTAGTAGCTCATTATGATTTGGAGTTACACCAAATGGATGTGAAAACTGCCTTTCTGAATGCGAATTTAGATGAAGAGATCTACATGAGTCAACCTGAAGGATTTTTGGTTGAATGAAAGGAACACATGGTGTGTAAACTTAAGAAATCAATATACGGACTTAAACAAGCTTCCCGACAATGATATCTTAAGTTTAATGGTACCATCACGTCCTTTGGATTTAAGAAAAATATTGTTGATTAGTGTATATATCTAAAGGTCAGTGGGAGCAAAATTATATTTCTTATTCTGTATGTTGATGACATATTGCTGGCTATTAATGATCTTGGCTTATTATATGAAACCAAGAATTTTCTCTCTAAGAACTTTGAGATGAAAGATATGAGTGAGACATCCTATGTGATTGGAATTTAAATATTTCGTGATAGATCACAAGAATTGTTAGGGTTGTCTCAGAAAACATATATCGAAAGAGTTCTTAAGAGATTTAATATGGAAGGTTGTTCAGCAAGTGTTGCTCCAATTCAGAAAGGAGATAAATTCAGTCTTATTCAGTGTCTAAAGAATGATTTGGAACATAAACAAATGGAAGAAATTCCTTATGCATCTATTGTTGAAAGCTTAATGTATGCTCAAACTTGTACCAGACCAGACATTAGCTTTGTTGTCGGGATGCTGGGCAGGTATCAAAGTAATCCATGAATAGATCCTTGGAAAGCTGCAAAGAAAGTTTTGAGGTATCTACAAGGAACAATAGGCCACATGCTCACTTATAGAAGATCTAAAGATCTTGAAGTGATATGATATTCAAATTCAAATTTTGTTGGATGTGTTGATACCAGAAAATCAACATTTGGCTATATGTTCATTTTGGCTGAAGGAGCAATCTCATGGAAAAGTGCGAAACAGACTATCACAGCTGCTTCCACTATGGAAGCTGAATTTGTGGCTTGCTTCGAAGCTACAATTCAGGGCTTATGGCTGCGGAATTTTATTTCAGGACTTGGAATTGTCGACAGTATTGCCAAGCCGTTGAAAATTTATTGTGATAACTCCGCGTCAGTCTTCTTTTCCAACAACGACAAGTATTCCAAAGGTGCTAAACACATGAAATTAAAATATCTTTCCGTTAAGGAAGAAGTTCAGAAACATAGGGTGTCAATTGAGCATATTAGCACCAATCTCATGATTGTAGATCCTTTGACAAAAGGGTTGTCACTGAAGACATTTAACGAACATGTCGTGAGAATGAACATTATCAAAACCCTTTATTAGTTTTATGCTCTTTATATTTTAACATTTTGGGTCCAATTTTTCTTGTTTTTGATATTTATAAATCATGTTTTTATTGTTAGTGTACACTTTATGTTGCATAATATTTCAACAAGATTTATCTTTTAATAGACATTATGGGACCATAATGTTAATTCTCATTATGCTAAGTATGTAATTGATATTGTGATATATGGAAGGGACTGTGTCGATAAATTGATGCACAACCGCCATGATTCATATTAATTTCATACTTATTAAATAATTTATGATTTAACCAATATAAAGAAGGATTTATGTTGCAATATGTAATGCACTATTAAAATTAAGTGAGCCAAGTGGGAGAATGCTATATTTTTATTTATGACTCACATTTATTTTAATAACTTATGAGATTTATTTTTGATAACTTAAGTTATTAATTTTTTTAACTCATAACTTATGTCATAAATTATGACAACTTATGATATTTATTTTGATAACTTAAGTTATTTATTTTCTTAACTCATAACTTATGTCACTCTACCTAACACACATTATACATTTCTCTCCATCAGAAAGTACAGAAAGTTTCAAGGGATTAGAGAGAGAAGCTTCATCTCTTCAAGATCAAATTTGTTCATCATGAATACATGTATGCGTCACTTTATTTTAGATATGAAAAAAATCATGAATTTAAAAGATCTTGACTATTATGTACTTTTTCTTTTGAAATTTGTGTCATAAAGTTGAAACATAAATTTTCTAACATGTTACTTATGTGTTATTGTTCTGGGAATATTCTTGGTGTTATAATAGCACAATAACACATGAATAACACACAATAACACATGAATAACATGGGGGAATATTCCCCTGTGTTACCGCGCCGTTCTTTTCTATGTCGGGAATATTCCCCGTATTATTCTGGTGTTATTGTGTGTTATTCATGTGTTATTGTGTCCTGAGAATATTCTTGGTGTTATAATTACGCAATAACACATCAGTAACACATGAATAACACACAATAACACATGAATAACAGAGGGCAATATTCCATGTGTTACCGCGCCGTTTTTTTTTTTCTGTCGCGTGGGCTGTCGTGGCGTGATTTCATTGGCTACGCACGTTACTCTAGGTACGTAGTACTTATGTAATATTTTTCCGCGAATAGGCGCAACAATTTCACGTACGTCCAGTACACGTCATTCGCATTCGCAGGCGATGTGGTCCCCCATTGGTTGGCCGTCCAAACTTGTGGACGCCATCCGCGGACAATGTGATCCCTCAGTGGTTGGCCGTCTAGACATGTGGTCGTCTGGGCGAAATAATTTTTCCTTGTCAGAGGTAGTTATTGTGAAAGAAGTGAAGTTTATTGTTGTATTTTATTTGATTTGTTCATCACCTTTCGGATGTATTTACCCCATGTTTGTGTTTATGAACCTCATTTTTATGCCGTGCCTTCCACACAATTTTTTGCACTATATTTTTTAGAGAGAGATCTCGCTTCGCCTGCTTGCTCAATTTCCTCCCATCTCTCTGATTTCCTGTGCACTTGCGATATATCTACCATAAGCTGCTGCTGTGTATGAGGCCAACGAATACCTTTGATCTCGAATTTGTTCTTAGATCTTCCCTCTTAGTTCATCGATCTCTTTGCATATGAGGTACACCAGATGGACTTCTCTGCCCTAATTTTTTATGGGGTTTTTCTTCGCCTATTTTGTGATTTTGTAGAGAAGAACGTGGAGTTTCATATGCCATATCTTTTGCCCTAACTTCTTTTAGTATATATTTAGCGATTTTCAATCGTTTCTCAAATTTCATTGAAACAGTTTTCTATGGGGATTTCAATCTCTCCGGCCATACTTTTTGGAGATTTGTGTGTAGATTTTGATTTCTCTGCATAAAATGATTGGACTAGTATGTAGGGACTCATTTATCCTATCGTGCCTATGAAGATATTTCGAATTCTCTGTGCTTATTTTTTTAATCCAGTTTCTGTGGGGATTTGAGTTTTCCTAACTGTGGAGTATTGTACTTTGGTGAAATTTTCATATATTGCGCACAATTTCATAAAGATAAATAATTTTTGCATACATAGCCCACAATTCTTATGTGTTTACCTTCATATGTATATACATTTTAGTATAGCAGCTATATGCCTTTAAATATGAAAGTTTGAAAAGGATTGGGGTCTGAGTATAGCACTTTGGTGATTATGTCATAATAGTGTTGATTTGATGTGGTATTACATATTTGAGTTATATATGCATAAATATAAATGTTTTTATGTGAGATATGTAAATAGATTAGAATTGTGTGTTATGTATGTAAATGGAGCTTATTGGATGAATTGACTATGTGGGGTTGATGTTGATTTGTTAGATGAAAGTTTGCTCCGTTTTCATGTGATGATATTGGAAGAATTAGGGAATGGATTTCAATACTTGTTTTTTGTTTTGCATAACAAAGACAAGTTGCTTGTTCTTTGTTTGGTGGATTTCATTATAAGAATGGATTTGTTGCATGAATGAGTGTTGGTCTTTGTGTGGCAGTATTCAAACTTCTCAAATTAATATGAAAAATAATCAATATATATGCTATAATTTTCATTTTCTAATGTATGAATCCTATTTGAATGCCTAGATGTCATGATTTTGTGCTACGATTTATTGCTATATACATTTGTGGCATCTTTTGTTTAGTATATCATTAAATATATGTTATATCTATTCATTATCACATTTGTTATGAAATAATTGATGTCAGTCAGTGATATGAATTGGTATAACATATATGCATGAATAACTTTCTCATAGTGACTTTGATAGCACTAATAGTTGGAGAAATGAATTAAAAAAGCAGTCTATGCTTCACCTCTTTTCTCACATCCCCTTCTTTTGTATGTGTCTATACTATAAGACTAAATTTTCTTTTTATTTTCTTCACAATTAGAGGTATAAATGGGCAAGACAAGAGAATTTGAATTTTCTGTGATGTGGGAAAGATATATAAAAATATTTTTTTATGATCTTCGCTTAAAGGAAGTGAATTGGGAAATAAGCTCACAAGTTTTTTGATAAAGAGAGATGGCAGAAAATAATAAAAAAATTTAAATAAAGAACTTGAATATAATATGATAGGAAGAAATTAAAGGAAAAGGAGAATCAATTAAAGAAGAATTAAAATTATGAAAAAAATTAAAGCAAGGAGCTATAGGTCTTGATTGGGACCATGCAAAGAGGACTATTGATGCATCTAAAGTATGGTGTAAAAAAGATTAGAGGTGACATTATAGTTTTTAGTTATACTGTTCCACGAACTTATGTTAAACCATTTTATAAATCAACATTTATTTAATGTCTATCTCTTGTAGGTTGTATCAAACACTAGAAAATTCAAATTTAGTAGCGTTGATCTTGAACTAGAAGGGGATCTAGATCAAATTGGAGTCATTGGCACTGGTGATCATGCATGGCCCCCAAACCAAGAAATGAGCATTGATGTATCAGACCTTGTAGATTCTGAGCACAAAGCCGACTCAAATGATGGATCCGTTCATACTGTCACCAAACACATTAGATCCAACCATTCAAAATGATAACCATCTTGAATGCAAGATAGAGAGGGGTTGGAGATATGATTAATGTGCGAGAGTGTATTACAAATACATTAGTTAATGTGTAGTTATTGTTTGTCGGCATATAAAAAGAAATTATTAATCTCTTTTTGTTGACTTTTTTTTAATGACCATGTCAATCTATCTGTGGATTCTTTCATAATCTATTGCATTTTTATTTCCCTTTCTATTAGCATATCATATTTTATCTAACTTGGATAGCTTCTTACACAACCGTGGGTGTGATTTCTTAATTTTTTTACTTGTTATTTTGGTTTGGAGGTCTATGATGGGAGATATGACTTTAGGTGTTCTTCTGAATGGTTTTTATGTTGCTATGGTTTTTGAAATATATGAGTGATATCAAGGCAACCAATACCCCATTATTTTTTAGTCATATGACCTTAGGGGTTCTTCTAGAAGAATTGTTTGCAGACATACTTTTTGCGGCATATATGTGTTTGGTGTTAATTGGTTAAAGACAACGAAGTTCCCCTTGTTTTTTGGTCATATGTTTTCTTATAATAATAGATTGTTATTGATTTATATTTACTCTAAGATCTCATTATTTTTAACTTTATTGTTGTATTATTGTAATTATTGTTAATTAATTTTTCTTGTAACTTTGTGATTGAAATTTCAAAAGAAGCTCAAAATCTAAAATAAAAGAAAATTTGAGTTCGATGACTTCTATTGCTTTTAGAGTCATATAGTGCAAGTATAGATTGTAATTTGTGTATTACGTCACGAAGTAAAGCTAGTCATATGAGAAAATTTTATTAATGGCCAAAATATAGATCAACAGAGGACTACGACTTCATTGAATGGGCAAATGAGTTTGAGGAGTCAACTTCATATAGTGACCATGTGCAGAGAGTATCCATAAAAAGAAAGTTTTCTCATAAGCGTGACCGTTTGGATGTTAAAAGTAGTATTAAAATAATATTTTATTGTAATTTTTAATTTTTATTTTACTCATTGTTAAGTGATGTATAACTTCTTGATATAATATTATGGACTTGTGACTTCTTGAGAATTTCTAAGATTAGTTTTTGTTGTTATGTATGAGTTAATTCTAAAATGGTTAACTTACAAACAACACATTTTTATAAGAGTAATACGGTCTTTATTTCATAAATATTTGCATCATAGCTGATGCACAATTAAATTAATCAAACAAACACACAACTTCGTCAACAACAACTTCCCCACATCAATTTTTTTTTTACAACTACTGCATAACAGCTTCTTCAAACAACTACATTAGTTCTTTTGAAAATATATCCATAAGCATTTGATTTTATGGTATTGTTAATATCTTGGTTTTCTTATTAGATTAGTTATTAAAATTTTCTTTCATCTTCTTCATTCTTTAAAAAAAAATGTATGGAGAGAATTTAGAAGGATTGTTTATTATTTGAAAATCTATTCATGAGAATTTGGTTTTCTGTTATTGCAAATATCTCAGTTTTTATGTTAGATCAGCAATTGTATTTCTTTTTCTTCTTCAAAATTGGAAAGGATTGCATGACAGAATTTAGGAGCAGTGCTGGATCTTTTGAAAATATATTCGTGAGGGTTGAGATTTTTGCTTTTCTAAATCTCTCAATTTTTTGTTAGATAATTAATTGCATTTCTATTTCCTCTGCTTCAAACTTGTAAAAGATTGTATGAAGAGAATTTTGGAGTAGTGCTTATTATTTTAAAAGTACATCCATGAGAATTTAGTTTTTTGCTATTACAAATATCTTAGTTTTCATGTTACATGAGCAATTGCACATCTCTTTCCTCTTCTTCAAAATTGGAAAGAATTGTATGGAGAGAATTTAGGAGCAGTGCTTGTACTTTTGAAAATATATCTATGAGATTTTGATTTTCTGCTATTGTAAATATCTCGATTTTCATGTTAGATCAACAATTGCATTTTCCTTTTCTCTTTTTGGAACTTAGAAATGAGTGTATGAAGTGAATTTAGGAGCAGTCTTGGTTCTTTTCAAAATATATCCATGAGAATTTGATTTTTTGCTATTATCTACTATATTAGGTTAGGACCCTGTTAAGAAAATAGTTGATGTATAAGAAGAGTGGTGGCGAGATAAAATTTAAAAAATTTACAATGTTTTATTGAACTACGACTTCATTAAAATGCAATTTCTTTGAAATGGCTTTTCATCAATTGTAGGTATTGCCCAATGCAAAAAATTTTACTTTTGGCATTGACCCAAATCTCAAGGAGAAACTTGATACTATATTCCTCGGTATTATGGCCACAACCATCAATGTCTGGGCTACAAGTAGAATTTGGATGAGCCTAAATCTGCTCATTCAAATGAGATATGGGAGGAACAAATAGAGGACTGAGAGCACCGCGAGACCAGTTAGTCCGAGCTTCCTGAGCCCTCCACCCAAAAGAGAAAAAAAAATAAAGACTAGGGCAACACACTTATCTAAGCAGTTCTCACAACTAGTAACTATTTGCGCTAGTATCACATCTAGTACTCCCACAACCACCCTGCATGGATACCCTATTATGGTAGATAGTGTGAAGTTGCTGGACTTCATTCCAGAGATTTTGATAACATGCCCCTCTAATTATACTAAAAACTGTAATTATTCAGATAAATTAAATATAATGGCAAAATAGTCTTTTTCATTAAAAACAGCTGCAACACAGAAGATTTCCAAACAAACTCATGCTTCACTATCAGCAGTTTTCTGACAGCTTCTAAGAAGTTGTTTCTCTAAGTAGCAGCTTTACTTATAAGCAGCAGCCATCCAAAATGCACCCTAACTCTCACTCTTTTTTATTGGCTCACAGCGACTTGATTCCCTTCAATGGTTGATGGAATTTTATTCGACATTGATTGTATCTATCCTAAATCAAAGTTCTAGCAATCAATTTTGTTGATTTTAATCTTCATATTCTTTATGCTCATATCTAAAACTTTGTTAGAATTTTAATGTCATATGTTAAGAAATTGATTAAATTTTGAGCAAAATTAAATTAAGATGAGAGAACAAATTCACGAATTTGCAAAATTAAATGAGATTTAACTATATATTTAGTCGCATGTAAATTAAACATTTTACTAAACTTCAAAAGCCTTACATAATAATATTAAATTTTTTTATAAATAAACACAAATATATCACTTTTCATGTTGATGATTGAGAAAAAATACAACAATTTTTTCCCTAAAAATGAAGGCTTAAAGTGTCAAATTAAATATTGATGATGTTTCTCATCCTCTCTTCTCTTCCTAATGTGAGAAACTTTTTCTTTCTCCTCATTGTTCTTCCTCGCACGCTTCTTTATTTTTCTGGTTTTGGATATTACTAAAAGAATTTATACTTTATGCTTCTTTGATACTAAAGCATATCAAATAAAATACTAACAATTATCAAGGAATAAACATAATGTAAGAATCCATCAATATGTTACCATGATTTGAGATTGGGTGTTCTAAAAACTATAATATTTAAGTACACACACACACACACAAACACTTTGTTGTCATTACTATTTGAAATTTCTTGTTTTGTAATAATTCACACTTCAACAATGGACTATGAGTTGTGTCATGTCTATGTGGTATCTCAATATTTATGTTATGAGTATTATAGTGCTTTGATTTTGAGCATTTTAATGGTTACCTGTACTTATGTCATAATCTATTCTTATTATTAAATTTTAACACGCAACTTTTAAACAAATGAACCCACTAAATGGAGAGGAAATTATAGAAATTGTGGAGAGAGCAATGATTCTGACCACAATAGCTTATATCGTCAATGAGTATTATCAAAAAAAAGTTGTGTAAGACCCCTCAAGTGTCAACATCATCTATGGGTGACAGATGAGTTGGCAAACAACTTGAAGCTCATCCAAGAAGAATTCATAGCATATTCCAAATTACAAAACATAATTTATGTGATTTACTCAACGAATTGTAGTCCAAATATGATTTGCATGGATTGCCATGCTTTATATCCCTGAGAAGTTGTAGCCATCACATTTTTTATTATATCACACAAGTAGTCCATTTGTGCTACTTCTGAGCGTTTCCAACACACTACACGGAGACAATTATTAGGTTTTTTGACATCGGGGTCAAATTTTTTGTGAAAATTTCTACCGACATTGTGAAACCCCTAGACACAATTTTTTTTGCAAACACCACGAGAAATCTGTAGTGATCTGAGAGACATGTCGTTTGTCAAGGTATTGGTATCTATATCTATTCTAAAATTAATATATTAAAAAATAAAAAAATAATGGTCTAACAAGTTTTTTTAAAAAGAATTATATCAAAGCAATTGACGACGCGCGTGGGAAATGAAGAGAAGATAACATATAAAAAAATGTGTAGGGCTGCTACACAAAAATAACTTAGCAGTGTGTGATTTCAACATGTTTTATATTCATGATGGCTGATAGAGAAGTGTTCACAATAACAAAATTTTCAAATTTATAATCTGGCGGCATGAAACAAATTTCCAATGTCTCCTCAATGTTAATACATTTTAGATATCACAAGAATCTTTCTATTTTAAGAAATGAACTAATGATGTTGTTATTAAGAAAAATATTACCTAGTCTATTCAAGATATCCTTTACAACAGAGTTTCTTAAAATCATTTTCTAATACGAGATATCACATTCCTAATTTTGAGCACATCAACTAAGTGATAGAGGGAGGAATAAACTCTTCAATAAAAGACACTCGTTATTACAGAGTTTCATCGAGAGAGAATTCAGTATATGAAGACAGTGGTCATACTTTGAGATGTACCAACGTACTCTTTCAAAAATAAGGTGAAAATAGTTATTGCAAAAGTAACCCACCCTCCATCCATAATCCTATATAGAGACATCCATCCCGAGACGATATCGATTTCAGGGTCTTACACGATGATTCTACCTGCATGCCTGAGGAGGCATTTCAACATTGGGGCGGACATTCATTGCCTGATGAGGAATTTGGTACGAATGAGTGCAACACATCTAAGGGAGAAGGCGTGCAAGAGATGATACAATTAAGAGAAGAGATTACAGATATTTTAGTGAACTCATCAACTGTATTTATATAACATCACCTATTGATTTCTTATTGATGATTCCTATTTCAGTTGTATGTTGGATTTGTAGATGTATATTTTTTAAATCTTTGTAGCATTATGTATTATATCTTTCTTGATGTGTCCTTACTACCTTTTGTTTTTATTGTAAAACTATTTAATTCTTTGTGATGTTTGTGCATTTCAACTTTTTTTTGTCAATTTCAGTCATAGTGTATTATAAATATAAGAAACATGAGTTTAAGAGTATCAGGTATTTGAGAGTTCCATCCTGCTACTACGGCACGCAGTGTGTTGATTACCAATCAAGAAGAGAAAATAATTACGAGAGGAGATTTTACTATTGTCCCAGAAACATGACACCTAAAAATTACAATTATTTTCGTTGGATTGATGACATGGATGACTTCGCTCCGAGCAGTGACCGAGTTTGGAGGAATGCTTCCTTAGAGAGAAGATTATCCTGAAGATTTGATCATCAGGACATTAAAGCAAATGTCATTCTATGTTTGCTGGTTATTTTTATTGTCCTCGTTACTATATGGTTGTTCACTTTTTTACACTGCACTGAAGTTTTTTTGTGTAGTTGGACCTCTTTCTATAATTCTGAAAATTGTAATTATTCAGATATATTATATATAGAGCAAAACAATCTTTTTCATAAAAAACAGTTGTAGCACAACAAATTTCCCAATTAAAGTTTTGCTTCTCCATCAATATTTTTCTGACAGATTCTAAGAAGTTTCTCCGAGCAACAATTTTAATTGGAAAGCAGGAGCCACTCGAAACACACCTTACTCTCACTCTTTTTGATTTCCTAACAACGATTTGATTTCCTTCAATGGTTAATGGAATTTTATTCGACGTTGATTGTACCTTTCCTAAATCAAAGTTCTAACAATCAAATTTGTTGATTTTAATATTCTTATTCTTCATGCTCATATCTAAAACTTTGTTGGAATTTTAATGTCATTTGTTAAGAAATTGATTAAATTTTGAGCAAAATTAAATTAAGATGAGAGAACAAATTCACGAATTTGCAAAATTAAATGAGATTTAACTATATATTTAGTCGCATGTAAATTAAACATTTTACTAAACTTCAAAAGCCTTACATAATAATATTAAATTTTTTTATAAATAAACACAAATATATCACTTTTCATGTTGATGATTGAGAAAAAATACAACAATTTTTTCCCTAAAAATGAAGGCTTAAAGTGTCAAATTAAATATTGATGATGTTTCTCATCCTCTCTTCTCTTCTCTAACGTAAGAAACTTTTTCTTTCTCCTCGTTCTTCCTCGCACGCTTCTTTATTTATTTGTGGTTATGGGTATTACTAAAAAAATTTATACTCTATGCTTCTTTGATACTAAAGCATATCAAATAAAATACTAACAATTATCAAGGAATAAACATAATGTAAGAATCCATCAATATGTTACCATGATTTGAGATTGGGTGTCCTAAAAACTATAATATTTAAGTACACACAGACACAAACACTTGTTTAGAGCACTTGATAGCTTAATAGGATAATAACATAGGAATTATACATCTTTGAGTGACTCTTGAAGAACTCTGCCACAAGGAGAAATGACCCAACTAATTAAATATTGTCACTTATAGGAGGCAAGTGCAATCAACAAAATCTTGGCATGCTTTTAAGGGATAGATCAAACATCCTCCACTGTAAAAACCACCACAACTGATCTCAACAATCTGCCCTTATCCAAGCTTGGTTTGCTCCATTTAATTATGTATCTTGCCTTTAATACTTGCACCAAATTTCAATTGAAGTTGCTTTCCTTTCCAACTTACTAGTTAAGCTAACCTTTTAATGAAATAGTTCAAGGTCTTGCATATGCAGTGTGCTTGCATTTGAATTTTTTTTTTTTAATATTTTACAAAACTTTAAAAAGAGTAATAAGATAAAGTTAAACTGTCTGAATAAAGACAAACATATCACTTTTTATGTCAATGATTTAAAAAATACAACTTTCTATGAAAATGATGGCTCATAGTGGAGAATAAGATATAATGATGTGAATAAATTTTGAATTAGATAACCAGAATCTCAAAAAAATCAAATATAAATTAATCTTAAGATGTTAACAAGGTATTTTTAACAACCCAAACTATATCTTATCTAAGATAATTAATAGAATGTTTACTCGACGCTTAACATTACATATATCTTTCTTTGATGCTAGAGCAACTAAAAAAAAATACCAACAATTATCAAGGAATAAAGGCCACCGAAACAACCCCTACAATTAATTTATCGAGCAAAGATCAAGGTCAGGTGTTTCAAAAAGCCGAATATTTGAATATACATGAATGTATAGATATATATATATAAATTATTCGTGCGCAAGTCCTAGCTCTTTCGTAGCGGCCTTGGAGTAAGACCCCCAGGTCGGGGATTCAAATCTCAGCCATTTCGGGAGGATTTGAATAGCACGCGAACTGGAAAGGGGGTACACCCCTCGGTCATTCCAATCTATAAGGGTTGATCGGCGGTCTCCGACCGTCAATCAATTTTTTAATAAGAAAAAAACATATATATATATATATA